TCGGCTTTTCTCTCTATCCGACAACCTACAAAGGCGACGTGGAGACTTACGATCATCTATCAACTCAGAAACGACCAGATTTCACGTACGTAAGAGCTAAGACTCCTCGTCATGATGATGCCGGAAACATGTTCGCACTGATAGCCGGGATTCCCACTATGCCACAAGAAGAAGTTGCGATTCACTATTCGGTTGCTGCAGGAAGCGATGCTGATGAACAGCAAGAATGTAGACATGAAGTCGCTAAACAAGACTTAGTACGGGTAATCGAGAATTATCTTCCGGCAGGTGAGGAAGCGGAATTCGTTACTTTGGAGGGCGAGGTGAGATTCGAGCAAAGGGATGGGCGACATGTATGGTTTGGAGTTCTTGAGGTGGATGTTAAGTATACGAATCTCGTTGGTGATACGAGGCCGGCGCCTGGAAGTGGAGGATAGGTATTGTAGTTATTGCAGCCTCTCATAATTCAACATGCGCCTCACAACGGAGATCTACGACATGGGTGCCACGTATCTCCTTGCGACACGCCCTATGTACATTGCATCCAGTGCCTGCTCACTCTAACTTTTCATTTCCTTCTCTAATAGCCTGTCCGTAATCTCCCGCATTCGGTGTCCTCACAATAGTGTGTGTGTGGTACTTCGCTGGCTCCTTGTTCGTCAGGAAGACACCAGAGTGGTGGTCAAATTCGACCAAGATAACCGGGCTCTGGACACGGAAGTAGAACGCGTCGTCTTCGCCGAAACCTCCGATCCAGCAAAAGTAGGTCTCGCTCAAGTGTTGTCTGATCTGATCAAGCTTATGTTGGCGCGCCTTCGTGGGATGGTATAGCAGGAACTCTTCACATATGGCGAGGACTAGTTCTTGCTGTGACGAGTCGAGAGAAGAGACCAGAACGCCCTCATAGGGTACGATGCGGTTGTCGCGGAAGGCACCACATCGATGGCGCTGGTCATCTGGACCCCACGTATCGGTAATGAGCTCGTCTCGCTTAGTCTCGTCATTGTTGGAGTTGCCGTAGACTTGCTTCATGCCTTCATCTCTCATCTTCTTGAAGATCTGTGCCTTTTGTTGTTGCTCGTGGCTGAGACTCTGCATCAGCTTCCAACCCAGACTGCCTTCTTTGTGTAATATCTTGGTACCCTTCCATTCTCCGTCATCGATGATGTTGGGCTCGGCACCTGTGAACGACGGACTCATGATAACTTGATTTCCCTTGTAGAAGCAGGAGATGTCGAGATGATGGCCATAGAGCAGCCATCCCCAGGGCGAGGAAGCGGAGGTAGAAGGCGTACCAAAAAGCAGAAAATTGTAAGAGTACTTGTTCAAGATGTTGGGTAGCTTGACAACCTCGCCCAAGAAATGGTTCACCCGCATGGCCGCGATAGCCTTTTCGTAGCCTTCTGGGGAAAGAGATGCCTCTACCACTGCAAGTATTGACTGCGCGATATTCTCAGGCACTGTAGCAGTTAGCCTCAGGTCGTAGCGTCGGTAAATTCGAGACTTACCTTCTTCGAGTCTGAGCCCGAATGGTCGCAGTAAGAACTCTGGGTTACTCCATGCCCTCCACTCTCTGGCATTGATTGGGTATGAGATCTTCGCCTTCTGGTTGCTATCCAGAGCTGCGAGTAGTTTCTCCGCCTTCTTGACCGGGCAATCAACATCTACACCTTCGTCTCGTGCTTGATATAGACCATCCCTTATAGTGCCGTCATTCGTGATGCCTTTGTACGGCTCTTCCAACAACTTCTCCCAAACTTTAGTCAGATCGTACAGCCATGGCGGGGCGCGGTTGTCTTGCATTGACTGGACATATTCGTAGATGTTTTGCTTTGCGGCCGTCGTGAAGCGGGGACTGCTGAGGTCTGGTAGATGGGCCCGGAAGCCGTCTGATGCTTGATCGAATGAGCTTCGTCGAGCCATTATCGAGGGTCGCTGTGTTTAGGTCCGTGTACTTCTCTTTGTCCTGAAGTTGTTGTCCACGAAGGTGTGCTGGGCCAAAGGGAGAAGCCTTTTCCGCGTAGCTACTGTTCTAGATCACCACTGCAGAGGTAGCAAGCTCCAGGTGATTTATCTGACACCGAAGGTCACGCTGTCTTCAGGCTGGTCTTCCGATTGTGTTCCGAAGATCAAAGAGAGTTTCGGGTGAACCCTTTTCCTCTCTGTGAGCCTCGCGACACGTAATGATGAGGTATTTGTTTGTCTTCGCTCACAGATCCAATAATCATACAGCAGTCGTCCGTAAAACTTTAGACGAATAAGCTGATATCGTTGTTGAAGTCACGAAAGATGCGAAATTCTCAGTCTACTCATGAGGTGATTCGGGAAGTCACCCCACATCCTACCCTGAGCTAGCGCGGGGTATGCAGCCCCCCATCGCGTATCCACGGGACTGAAGTAGACTTGCGGCTCGATGTAGACTTCCCAGCCTAGTGAACCGCGACGCATTAAACGAATAGCAGATGACACAATGTATTCATGCACTTCTGGTCGGAGGCTTTTCTACACGTGTCGTTGCGACGAGCGTTGGAGAGAACGCTCACAAGAGACTGTCGATACAGCTCTAAGTAGGCGACAAGGCCTATCAGGCATATGGTGTATGGTGTATGAGCGAAAAGGTTGGTATGATGTTGACCAGATCGCGAACTGCTTAAGCCATCAAATCTGACGCCCGATTGGTGCTTTACAGTAACTGCTGCATCAGTTCATGTCCCTGGAGGTGTATTGTCGCGTAGTGGAAGCGATCTGGCGTCAGGACTCATGCGCATCTTCAATATCTCTAAGCACAGCGTCTTCAGCTTACCTCGAGATCGTGCAATCACAGCCGATGCGATAGTAAGATGTAAGAACGGCTCACCCACACTCCGCGACTCCGCATTTGCCGGATCTCGCGCGTTCATTGATGGCGGTGGGGCGCTGACTTGGAAAGACGCTAACCGTTGCCCCGCCACGGTGGGGTGTGCAGCCGGTAGCTGACAACCTTGGAACAGCAAGCTCCCCAGGCGTGGACGTATTCGGGCCGACAGCTTCCCCGATATATGTTTATCGAAGAAGTGCTTACTGAGTTGACTTAGATAAACTTCGGCTATTGCGACTGAGAGTGACGTGTAGTGCTTTTCAAGGTTCGGAGGCAGCTTCGGAAGACCTGGTAGGAACATTCCGGCTAAGCTATCTTCCGGTGGCTGAACATTACGCGCGGGAAGGAGCTCGGAACTTGTGGAGGGATTGGAGCAAAAGCAAGAGACCGAGATATAGAAACGTTTGAGCAGAATCTTAAGAGCTGTCGGGAAGTTCCCTGCTTGTCTTCGGCGAAACCAACTCAACAACAACCAGCAACCACATTGCATCAGCAGCGCTCCATCCTCTACCATACCAGCAGATATTGTACATCAAGTGGCGAGACAGAGGCGCAGTATTCACATGATGGCAGAGAATACTAGGATAGCGATTGTTGGAGCAGGTAGTTATCCCCGACATGACATCGCCCATCCCATCATGATAGCTAACGTACTCCAGGCATGGGCGGCCTAGCAGCAGCACTATCTCTCGCAAAAGCTGGTCACAAGAACATCACGATATATGAGAACGCAACGAATATGGGCTTCGTAGGCGCCGGCATCCAACTCGCACCAAATATGGCTCGCATCCTCGACCGATTAGGTTGCTGGGGACCGATTCGCGACGAGGCAGTTCAATGCGCGAATACATCAATCCGGGAAGGTTCGACAGACAAGGAGCTAGGGTACGTAGATTTGGGCTACGTGCGAGAAAAGTATGGATACCCACATATGGTTGGCCACCGAGCGAGTCTGGCCAATGGCCTCTACGAGGGTTGCAAGAAGGAAAGCGGCATCACATTCAAGCTGGGCTGCAACATATCTAACGTACAGTTTGGTGCGAAGCCTAGATTCACCATTATACCAGCTCAGGGCAACGGAGAGCCCCAACAAGTCGAATGCGACATCCTGCTCGGTGCGGACGGCGTTAAGAGCTCTACTCGCGTCGCCATGCTCAAGGAACTCGGCCACACAGGCGCAGCTCGCGACTCAGGCCAAGCTGCATACCGCATCATGCTGACCCGAGACCAAATGGGGAACGACCCCGAGCTACTGAAATTGATTGAGTCCGACACAGTCACACGCTGGATTGGCGAGAAGAAACACATCATTGCCTATCCAATCCACAACAAGCAAATCTACAACATCTCCACCGCGCAGCCCGATATCAACTTCGCCGGAGCACCAGACGCGCAATATACGACCAAAGGCAGCAAGAAGGCCATGTTGGACGTTTACGGCGATTTCTGTCCGATGATACATCGCATGTTGAACCTGGTGCCAGAGGGCGAAGTTGTGGAATGGAAGCTACGGGTTCATGATCCGTTGGTAACCTGGGTGCATGGTACAGCTGCCTTGGTCGGCGACGCTTGTCATCCAACGCTCCCACACATGGCCCAAGGTGCAGCGCAGGCGATTGAAGACGGAGCTGTGCTGGGCGTCGTGCTTTCCCCTAAGCGCATCGCAGACGGGAAGCCGCAGACCATCGAGCACGCACTTCGCTTGTATGAGAAGCTGAGGAAGCCGAGAGCGGAAGCACTCGTTGAGCTCGCGGCGCAGAACGGAAGAGACATGCATCTTGGAGCCGGCAAGGCGAAGGAGGAGCGCGATAAGATCTTTGCGGCGCTGAAGTCTGGATCTGGGAAGGTGCCGGATAAGTGGGCGGATGCAGATATTCAGGCGCAGGTCTATGGCGTTGATGTTGTGGCTGAGGCGGAAGAGCTGTGTCAGAAGGAGGGGTTGGAAGCGAAGTTGTAGGTTGACGATTGTCTATGTATTATAGTGCCTTCACGATCGCATTCAATCCAAAAATCCAACAAGGGATCAGCTGGAGATGTGCGTGCTTCACATGATGTTCACGTTGTCATCGACGTGTTCAGACGCTACCCAGAGACGCGTAGCTCTGCATCGGACACAATGGCAAGGAGATATGTCCACCTGATCTCACATCCTCTCCGACATGTGACCTCTCATCGTATGGCCCTTCCAATGAGTGAACATGACAGGGATCAAACTAACGCCTACAAGCAATGCCGCAACGATGCCAGCACTGTTCGCGATACCTACATTTTCAAACATGGGAGGAAACCAGAATGGACCGAGGAAGCCCCAGATCTGCCTCACAAAGGTAACAAACACACCAATACTACCAGCTTCTTCAGGATAGCAATCGACCGCATATGTGATCAGGACAGTAGTGACGATTTGGTTGCCTGCTGCACCTATCCCTGCACCGACGATTGGCGTCACATTCCAATGCAGATCGGGGGCTTGCTCGATGCGAACGAGAAAGACAACCACGCCACAGATGGTGAGAAGTATGCCGAAGTAGCTCAGCCAGAGACGGAACTCTGGAGCAGGGCGGAGAGGAGTCATTTTCTTTGCGCGCCATCGCATCCAGAGATCACTCGAGTGTCCACCAATTTGCTCGCCGATGATCGTACCAATGATAACACCCACGAACTGTAAGCCGATCTGCTGTGCGTTGAAGTGGAACTTCTCGCCGAAGAGTTGCGGAATCTCAACAGTCGCGAGGACCGAAGCGAAGAGAAAGACCATTGCATACGCGCATGCAGGGATGACCACGCATGGGTACTTGAATAGTCGAAGTGGTGATATGAAATCCGAGGCAGTAATGGGTGTAGGATCGATGCGGCGAAACTTTAGATACATCTCCTTGTAGGCCACAAACCCGAACTGCGCGTGTTGCGCGTTGTTATGTCGGATGAAGCGCGTTTCGGGTCCAAAGAGCGTGTACAGGATGAGTTGAACGCCGTTGACGATTGCGAGGATCCAATATATCCAGCGATAGCCGACGTTGTAGGTCACAAAGCCGAAAATTAGGGGCGCCAGAGGTATACCCAGGGTGATCATCACCGTCCAGATACCCATAAACTTCGCTCTCTCCCTTTTGAAGAAAGTTTCGACCACAACGGCACTGCCAATTGCGTTCGGGGGTGAGATGAAGAAGCTTTGGAGAGCTCGGCAAGCAGCCATGGCAGCGTATGTTTGACTCTTCGCGCAGCCGACGTTGAAGACTAGACTGCCAATCAAAGATATGATGAAGATGGGTCGACGTCCGTATCGTGTGGAGAGCGGCCGCCAGAACAGTGGAGCACCCCCGAGGATAGCGATTTGTAGAGACGTAAGATACGATGCTCTTTGGAGGCTGACACCCAGGTCTTCGGATATGTTCTCATAGGCTGGAATGATTGCAGCAGCAGGAAACGCGCACATCATGGCGTGGAAGGCGACAAAGAGGAGGTTCATCACTTTCTATTCCCATTGTTAGTAGACATCAAACTGATGAATGCGTAATGACCTACCTTCCACTGAGGCCAGTTGTATGGATCGGCCGTGCCCATGGTGGGTATGGGGTCAAGCTCAAGCGTGCCATGTCTTTCCAACAGATACTGTCGATGCTCCTCGGAAAGGTGAGATACTTCGTCATTGTCGAGATACGTGCCATGAGTGTTTGCATGCTCTAGATCCTCACTAGTCATCGGCTTATCTGAGATGGCCTCTTTGTCGTTCTCCATGACTGTGACGTGGTCTTAGTGGTACAGCCCTAGGCGTGAGTTGCGGAATGAGTAGCAAGAAAGAGAAAGACCAGCAATCTCGAGTGCGCACGCCTCGGGGTGGCAACCCCATACTGTGTACCCGTCCTTCCCCATACTAATACCTGCGGAAGAAGACTTTCGCGGAGACCCCCAGTGGAGACCCCAGATGGTAGGATTATTGGCTGGACCCCAGCCCATTTAGTTTCAGGCAGGGGTTGCGAACCGTCGTCGTCACGGTGTCGTCGTCGCTAAGTTTCGTCATCCTATCATTTAGCGAACGGAAGCAGACTTCGGCAGCAGCACACCGAGGTTTAACGTCTTCGTCAAATACCGACGAGCGGGCATCGCCGCGCTACAGTGAACCTTTGGTATGCACCAGGCATGCGTCGAGCACGACGGAGAAAGTTATCGGCATGTGATGAGGAACAAGTGCCCGGAAATTTCAGGCTCGCAATATCCAGGATACAGAATGTATTCACGCGTGTTGTGCGCGTCGAAAGTCGAGACTCGAAGCAACGCCATCCGTGCTCAAGCTTTCGGGGAAAGCTTGGCCGGTGCCGGCGCCGTCTTCCCTCTTTCGGATCCACCCGGTCAACGCCGCCCGACGCGCAACGCGTCAGACTCAGCAGCCACCAGCAGTGTCGACCTAGAGCTACCTAATCCAGCGCAGCTGTTCATATAGGATATGAATCCAAGCCAAATTCCATACATCGACTCTCTCCTACGATACGCGTTCGCGGTCCTAAACCAACACAGGAAGCCGCCCCACCTATCCTGCGCCGATATAATCAAGACACTATCGGTAGGGTATCCGAAATGGATGCGCTTCAGTATTGAAGACAAAATCGTCCAAGCTGACTTCATCGTGGTCGCTAAAGATAAGATAGAAATATTTGAGGGTTTCGGCCAACCAAAAGCTCTGCGGAGGTGAAGAGAGAAAGTCAGCGTTTGTTTCGGAAGCATCGCGTATCCAGGACTTACCTCCATGCTGTCACTCTTTGGTGGCGGGGTCGACATAATGTCTTGGAGCGCGGCGTTGCCAAATTCAGTCTTTGTATTCGCCTCGATGGCCTGGAACATCTCCCACGCGATCTCTTGATACTTGGTCTCACCCGTGAGCCGGAACATGTAGAAGATCGACTCGATTGCTTCTGGCCGGAGAATATAACGGCCATCGTGGACTGCGCTGAATGGCTTTGCGCCTGGTGTGTAATCGCACTCTGACCACGACGGACACGGGGTCATCGAAAACACTTCAGGCATAATGCCGTTCGGTGCATTCTTATACGTCCACGCGCAACCGTCAGAGATCTTCCGTCCGACGTCGAGATGGGTCTGGTTGTCGAAGAGCCGCCCACCAAGCGCCAGCATACCTCCAGCGTAGCACACCAGGTGCTGCCCAGTGTTGTCTCTTTGTCCATCAGGGCCATCATGTTTCGCGGTTGCGATCAAGATGTCTGCTTTGTCTTCCACCATGGGTCGAAACATGGTGTGCGTTATCGCCGTATCCATCGCGTATTCGTACATCTTGCGATACTGACCAGCCGGCTCATTCCCGTTGAGCAACTGATACATCTTCGGTAGATACTCAAATGCCGAGTCGGCCATGGCACCCAGCCCAAAGAAAGCGTCGAAAGTCAGGTTCGGCGTTCTCATGTCTACACTGATCGGCCACATTCCAGGGAGCTTCGTGGATCCTTGCTGTGCATCAAGTACATCCGTAACCCTGGAGATGGCGTCGAAATATCGCATATCGCCTGTAATTTGGGAGAGACGAGTGAACTCCACACTAGCGGAAGCGGCTTCAGCTATGAGTACCGAGAGAGCTGGCAGCTGCTCTTCGCCGTCCGCCGCCTTCCCGGGTTTCCATCTCGGCACAGGCATCCGGTTAGGCGTGTCGAAGGTCGCATAAGCCATGTCTGCTACTTCGAGAGCCTTGTTCAGAAGACGGGTGTCGTGGCAGCCAGAAACGTCATAAGCGCCTATGAAGCCTCCCAGATAGCGTATAATGATCTCGAACATGTTGATCTCACTCTCGCGATCATCGCTTGGTTTGAAGTCGATCTTCAGAGCTGCTTCGACGGCTTCGGCGAACTCGTCTTCCATCCCCATGATTGACAAAGTGTCTAGTGAGTCGACTAACGTAGCTCCCCAGCCACCAAATTGGGTATCTCGAGGCTGGCCCGTCATGGGTGCCAGTTCATCTTTCATCCATGTGCGTTCTTTGTAAGACTTCCAGCATCGTTGAAAGGTCTCCTTGACAGCCGCTCGTCTACCAGCAATCGCTTCGGCACCTGGCGACTTTGGACGCGGAGATCTTTGCAAAGTGCTCCTGGACAAAGGCTTTTGTGAGGATAGCTGCGCATACTCATCAACTGGGTGTCGGATCGAGATTGCTCTCCAGTTGAAGCGATCTCCAGTATCTGGAGTTATTGCTGGCATGGGCGGTCTTGTTGGACACGCATGCGAGCTCGGAGCATGTTCATGGTGGCCTGATGGGAAGATGGAAGTCCTCGATGGGGTGAAAGGAGCGGAAAAAGAGGTGATGGTTACAAGAAAAACGAAAGCCACCAGGAGCATCACACTCCATCTCCATTTTCTGAGAAACATGATTAATCTCTCATAGGTGCAGGCGCGAGAACTCGACGCGAAATTCATGGAAGGAGGAAGAGAGTTGAGCAGAAACTTGACGCGCACCGTGCCATACCTTGCAGCTTGCAATGCTATTATAGTGCTCGGACTGTTTCGTGTTACGGCGCGTAAGACACCTCTCACCTGTGCCGCAAACAGTTTTAGGGGCCGTGTTACGCCCCAATCGCTTGAAAGAACATCGGCGCTTATGGTGAGTCCCCATGTCGTTTCTTACATTGATAACGCCAATTTGAAATGACATTATCGAGCGCCACAGCATTACCTCCTGGTATAAACCAGCGTTGACGACTATGCGGTGTGCTACGCGCTGCGCGAAACGCTCGGATTCCGACTTCTGCAAGGTTGTGGCGTAGTTGATTCCTGATCGCAACAGATGCGCTTATTGGTCAAGTTCTATCGCAATACGTCCGCCATGAATCCTTTTGGTAATTCCAAAACCTGTAACTTCCCTCATATGCGCTGCTAGCCCCTGATGTAGCTGCACTGTCTCGTCGTTTGGGTGTTCGGAGTCAATATACCCAGGCGATCACCATTGCGCCGAGAAGAAGCGTCTTTGCAAGTTTCTCATCTACCATTACGCGACTTCGTGTCCTCATACCCTGCGCGAAGATGGCTCTACATTTAGCGCTGCTCCTCTTGTACACTAATCTCATCTTTGGAGCATGGTGTCAAACCATACAGGACAGCTTGACTGCGCCTGCGACTCCAAACGGATCTACGAGCTTGCAAAGTGGTGCACCATTCACTATACGCTGGAAGTCCGAGCTTCAATATGCATTCAACACGTACTGTACTTCGTGCGATGTCAAGAAGCTCGACTTTTGGGTCACGAGCTTCATGGATCAGAGCTACAAGTTCAAGATCGCTGGTGAGTGAAGCCGTTCGACTCTAAACGTGTGATGTCGCAGTAACTAAGTCAAAGGTTATGTAGGAAGCGTTGATATAACCAGCACTACATCGTTTCAGTGGGATGTCAACATACCTTCTTCGGCACTGATAGCCAACGACTACTGGGTGTTACGCTTCACACCCGTTGGCGCAGAAGACCCGTTCACGGAACAGATATCGTCGTCGGGATTCTATATTAGCGGGCCGCCTGAACCATCTACCATCTTTAATACAGTCACAGCTAGACCGAGCAGTAAGTCATGAGTAGCTTCGAGCGAAGTCTGTCAGCTAAACCTGGGTGTAGGTACGTCAAGTTTAACGTTCGAGTCTTCGACCACTCCAAGCAACACGAGTACCATCGCAACGCCATCTCCAGTAACAACCGACATACCATCAGCTCAAGATCCAGATTCTTCGAGTAAAAGCTGGATAGCTGGCGCGGTCGTGGGGCCGATTGTTGGGATAGCAATAGTTGGGGCGCTTTTGTGGTTCTTGTTCAAAAGGAAACGGAAGAATGTCAGTACGGAACAAGCGGATGCGGATGTTGGACAAGACAAATACGTTTACCACCCGGCAGATTACACATACCAGGATGGAGAAGCAAAGTACGCTCAGACGGTTATGCGCCCTGCATCGTCACCGCACGTCTCCGAAATGGCTGGTGACTGGCAACATCGAGCAGAGGGCCAAAATCACGGCCCTGCAGAGATGCCTGGCAGTGCTTCAGATCGTAGCCCGGCAGAGCTTTGGCAGGGGAACTATCAACCTAGGCCCTAGTTCGTTTCTATTTCTGGCCATATGCCATTTCGGGGGTAGTCTACAAATTGGATCAGTCACACTGCCGTTGGATCTTGCAGGCACACCAAAGTAGCTCTAATCCTAGTAGTCCATTAACCAAACAACATCCCCTAAAAGTAAGAGGCTCTATGAAGTAAGCCCCAGAACTACGTATCTCGACAGCCTAGCTTTCGGGCGCACGTCATACAGCGACTCGCAAGATCTTCAGTGTTTACGGATCGTGCTGGCGGTGATCTGTGAATGTCGAAGCAACGCAAGCAGACAGCGCGAGCTCTGGTACATCCTAAGGGCCCCGAATCATGTTCTCGTTTCCATTACTGTAGCATAGAATTTCGATACCCACACACAGAATTCCTGTCTCCAAGCCTGGCAGCGCTTCAATTCATATGTGCAGCACTTGATCGAACCCAAACAATATCTTTGTCGCACCTTTCGTTCCATACTAGCTCAACGAGACTGAACCTTACGTCCTCTCAGATCGCAGGAAAGACCGCATGCAGATCATGGGAAATATTGCAAGCAATGCAAACCCAGACGCTACTTACAGCTGGTGCTGTCATCACTGTATGTTGCCTTTATGGTACGCATCGAGGCTTGCTAATCTTTCCAGGTGATAAAATATGGTCGTTCGCACGCGCAGGAAACAAATGCCCAAACTGTGGGCATCGGAAGTGTTGGAGAAGGTGCGCCGTCATGGGCCTCGCGAGGACGGATGAACTTTGGATGGAGAGGGCTGGGTCGAAGAGGTTGAGCAAACGGACGAGGTCGCTCGTCGTGGAGAACTTTTGACTCTCTTGCCTTTTTGGCACGATGGCGAGGGGTGGCACTTGCAGTGGGCATGAAGGTGGCTGGGTGCTGCGCTTGTGCCTTCCACATCAGTGATGACGTCATCGGCGCCGCTAGCTACGGAGGCACTCCCGAGGTCCTCTGCATCTGGCATCCACGACCTGCACATGTACCTAGGAGCATCGGATTCATCGCAAGCCTTCCAGCATGACACTATTTCTTATATCGGGCATGCTGTTCGGCGTGCTCGTCTCATTCGGGTACCGCCTGACGCCATTGCTGTTTAGCCCAAGAAGAGTCACTCTGGCATTTTCCCCAGCCTCACTTCGCATGGGGGAGGTCGTGCTAGCGATCCTGTCAATGATAGCAAAATCAATCTTTTACGCAATTCCCGGGTTTCCGCGCATCAGACTTTCAGCATTAGAGCTTGACTCCCCATTCACTCTAGATGCAGACGATGTTGTTCGGTATCAATCAGCAGTTGGAGGGACAAGCAGCACAGGAGAAGAGCTCTCAGCACCGCACCTTATGCTGTTTCTTTCAGCCATGACCGAGCCCGCAATGCTACTTCTACTCACCAGTCCCTGGTGTCCCATCAATCCACTAGGCGCAGTCAACGTGCGCAATAGGTTCGAGATATTACGCCCTGACCTATGCGACCTGTCGAGACTCGTAGATCTACGAACAGCCCGTCTGAAGGCGATTGCGAGTAACAACCCACGACAAGCAAAACGAGGCATCGAGTGGGATCTGGAGGTCGTGATCACCACTCCCACTGGTAGGAAGGATGGAACTATGGATATCATCTTTCGCCAGATCTTCACCATGCTAGAACTAAGAGAGCCACAGTCCAAGAAAATCCGGAACAGTTCACATGAGACCAGGTCTAGCATGGCGATACCACAGATGTCTGATAGCACCACACAGGTATCGATGTCAGTCGACGACCCGCTGAAATGGGCTGCGATTTGCAAGGACTACAACTTCATCCACCTATCGGGAGCGGCGGCGAAGGCCTTCGGTCTACCTGGAAAGATTGCGCACGGAAATCATGCAGTCGCTAAAGCTTTGCATCAACTGAAGGACTCGAGAAGCTCGCAGTCACTGTTCAGCACTTCCTCTTGGATGGAAGTGCAATTCAGAAGACCGATGGTTGTACCCGGTGTCTTCGATATCAATTTACGCGAGTCTAGTCAACCTAGCAAGATGCTCTCAGTTTCTTTTCAGGGAAAAGACTGCGCGACTACGGAGTATGGGAGCCTTTAGCAATGAACACACCGAGATAGTACTCGGCTACCGTCTGCGACCGTTCTTGAAAAGATGTGTCAACTAGGGGTGGCTACAATATGTGTCACATTCTCCTAGGATATCATTTGGCTCTCCGAGAAGTATACCTTATCTTGGAGACTACTAACCTATCAAAATTGAGATGTATGTAAGCGGCAAAGTGCTTCATGACTTCTATCCACCCCTGGTGGGGAAAATCTTGCATGAGAAAAGCATGTATAAGTCGACATGATGTTGCATTTTTGGTCGACTTCAAATAGCTTCAACAACCCGTTGTTCCACTGTCTCCATCAGTGCATTTAGAGCACGCCGATCCTCCTCCTGGAGGTCTGTCTCTTGCCTACGCTGAGCTTCTTCTTCAAGTTCAGGCTCGTAGACGTCCCACCCGATTGGCTCGAATCCCGGTGGTTTGCGACAGTCAAGGGAGTAGTAAGCATTCATGGGGTGATCGGGCCGCATGTTGTAGCGGCTATCGAAGGGATAATCCTGCGAATAGCCTGACTTGAAGTACCGAAGACGTTGGAGGCCAACTCGGAAGCGTTCGAATAGATGATGCCAACGAATATCCGGCTCCATCTCCCATTCAGGTCCATAAGAAAGACCGAAGCTGTCAAACTCATCGTCACCCTCATCATCACTCCCTTCGTCATCCTCATCATCAGTCTCGTCGTCACCCTTTTGTGGAAGTAGCTGAGGGAAGTTCGCTTTCATTCCCCTGTCGAGCAAAGCCAGATAACGAACAACACCGCAACCGCAAAGAAGTAGACTTTCTAGTGTAGCTCCATGCGCGACGATCCAGTCGACCTGCCAGTCATGCGCGATGGTCCAATTGCCAAAACACAACGACTTGAGGTGTGGAAACGGTTCGACCTCTCGGAAGTCCGTGAAAGGCCAGACGCCCCAGAGGCAGTCACAATCGAGCGTAAGACTAGAGATTTATTTGCAAAATCAGAACATGACTCACAGATAGCTCGAGACTTGTACAGAGAGACTTACCGTGTGAGTTGGTTGGTGGTGGGCTTCAACCAGTACTTCGGGAGAAAACGTCTTAAACCATTGTGCTGCGCGTCTGCATACGTACTCTGTCCACCTTCCGGTTCCACGTGGTACCTCAGAATTCTCAGTCGCAATTCTGTTAAGCGCTCTCTGACGGCTAGGAAGCTTTTTGATTCCATAACATCCTGAGGCATTGCATCCTGCAAGTTCTGGATCGTAAGACTCTCGAAGCTCTCACTTTGCGCCAAAGCCTGGAAGCAAAGGTCCTGCATCTTCGCCCGGAAATGTTCATCCTCTCTAATCTGCAGCATAGTATCTCTGTATCTGGTGTGAGTGTAGTCCTCCACGGTGCAAATGCTCGAGAACTTTAGCTCTATCCGCTTCAAACTCTCCAACTGTGGAAGTTGTGTGATGGCGTCAGCGAAGGTACAGAGAATGTCTGGTCCATCCGCTAGATATCTCCCGTTGTCGTCATCGTCGTCATCCTGCTCCTCATCCTCATCCTCCTCATTTTGCTCCCTGTCGGGGTACTCGGAAGTATTGATGATGGCATGACGTACATGCTTTCGTAAAGAGGAATGAATGATATTCAAGAATCTTTCAGGGCTGTTTCCAACGTTCGTGAAGGATACTGTGCGGAAGAGACTCTCGGAGGCCAATTCGTGGAATCCTTTGTTTACCAGGCGAAGGGCCTTAAGTGCCGCCAAATCGTCGGAAAGGAAATCGATACAACCCCGTTGGAGTTCGACAGGTAGTTGGATCATTGCGCTTACCTACCTAGGTGAGCAGCAAGTGTTTTGGCTATGACCATGTCGGACGCGAGTGGCCCTTTTGTACCTAGGTAATTACCTAGGCGCAGCACAACACGTCATTTCGCCTTGCATGAAGCTGCAGCATTCGATAAGAGGTACATATCGCTACATCCTAATTTAGGTATAACGTGAGTCATCTGTCAGGCGTGCAATTCTAAGGATCTTGGTTGCCTAATCATACGGTTGGGACCACGCTAGAGCCTTATAGGTATGCCTGCAGGCTACATCGCCTTTTCTTCTCGAATCATGGTAGACACCACTCTCTCTTCACGACACTATTACCGCCATCAGCCTCTCGTAATGAACACTTTCCAGACTTTACCGATCACAATCCGTGAGCAGATTTATCACGAGCTCTTGACCTACACTCCAGCTGGATACAGCGATCCGTATCTTTCAGATGCCCAGACGGGAAGTGTCGTAGCTCCAAGACCAGGAACCCGCCGCTTAGATGTACCTCCCCAGGCGTCTGCACCCTCATCGCCATTATGTAAACTGCTCACATTGAGCCGACAAATCAACGCAGAGATCTTCCAGTTTTTAAGACGTCAACTGTGCGTGGTTGTTAAGAGTAATCACCCATGGTTTCTTCGGAGCATATTCGACAGAACAATACCCGCGCTACCCGGGTGTCCAAGGTATTCCAGCGGCCGCCGGGTGGATTGCCCGCGCGTACCACTTATCTCACAATTGCAATCCTGCGATGAGATTGTTAAGAAGGAGTTTTCAGGTTTTCCTGTGGCAATGGAACTCGAATTTCACACGACCCGCAACCGCAACCCCAATCCTATGGAGAATACATCGTGTTTCTTGCTGCCAGCCTCGAGCCTGCCGATCTTGATCCGTATTGGCAAAGGTCATCAAAATCGGTGAGTAATTGCAGTTCTCATTATACCATGAAGGCGGATCTTAACCTGCGTCAGGTCTGGAAACACTTCCCTATATGTGTCGCTTTTTGAGACATTCTCACACACGCTTGAACGAGCCCAAGAGATTCTCATTGAACCTCTGCTGCTTCCCATTTCGAAGGCCCGCGTTAGATTTCACATTGTGAGCACCAATGACATGATCACTTCTCCTTGGGCCATGAAGTTAAGAGAGCACTTGATGAGAGAGCGGCCTGCTATTTACTGTCTTGACCATCTGGACGATATCAAGCATGCTCGTATGGCCTATGCATATCTTTCCGACGACATACGCAACGACACATCGAGAGACGGGGTTCTTGAATTATGGCTCCAGACTTGCGACATCGCTGCAGGCGAAATACAAGCCCTCTGCCATCGCGCAGGTATATTGGAGTCGAAAGAGGAGGGTTCAAGGGGTTCACTTGCGAACCTGAGAAGTATCGCATTTCCAAGATTCTCAACGGGTTCATCTGACAGTGTGGCATTGCTCCAGAAAGCGCGCAAGGATGCTGAAGAGATGATCAGTTTCTTATCCGATCAGCCCATGTGTGCGCAAGAAGCGTCGCTAGCTTCAAAAAAATGGCAGCTTGAAGTTGGCAAGCTCAAATCTCTGTTGAGCTTCAGGGCACATGTCGTTTGCAAAGCCCTTGGGGATATAGACGCCGCCATTGGATACCTCAAGGAAGCGATCAAGCATGACCCTAAATGTGCAGAGAACCCAGAGGACCGACCCCCAACAAAGTGGGTCTTTGGTGTTGGTAGCTGGACACATCCTCGGTCTGTCTACACTCGTGGAACGCCACTCAGTAACGTATACCTCGTAGAGAACCCAGTAGAGATGCTGGACAACCTGAAAGCCGAGCGTGGAACAAGCAGCGAAGAGGACGCCTCCAGAGTGGTACGATGGGAGGTCCGTATGTAAAGACGTTTCAGAATCACATCATTACGGGTTGAGTGCAAATCGAAGAAAACGTACCGATATCTCGAATGGTCACAGTGGAGTTCGCAAGTGACGCTAGCACCCCGCAAACAGCTTCAAGATGCCGAGGTCCATGCCATCTCTCCACCACAGCTCTGCCGGCATGGCTGAATCGACCTCGACGCGTCTGCGTATCTCTGTGCATATACACATACCTCCTTGAAGCTTGCCTAAAGTCGATCGACCTCACCTCTACACCCATTTCCACCTCAGCCACCTCACAACCCTCCATCCACACCACCACCCACGATGACGCACGCCGCCTCCAAAGACGACCTGCGCGTCAGCACGCTCTTCGACTACACCTCGCACGTCGTCCTCGTCACAGGCGGCGCCACTGGCCTCGGCGAAATGGCCGCGCAAGCCTTCATCCAAAACGGCGCGCGCGTCTTCATCGCGTCGCGCAAAGAATCCGAACTCGCCTCCACAACCGCGCGCCTCAACGCCCTCGGCCCCGGAAAATGCTCCTACATCGTCGCGGACCTAAAAGACAAAGCCGGCTGCCTCGCTCTGTGCACGGAGCTGAAGAAGCAAACAGATCGCCTGACGGTGCTGGTGAACAACACGGGCGCGAGCTGGGGCGATGATTACTACAACTATCCGGAACATGCGTGGGATAAGCTGTATGCGTTGAATGTGAAGAGTATATTCTATATGACGGTTGAGTGTGAGGGGCTGTTGGCTAAGGGGGCGGATGCGCATAATCCAAGCAGGGTTATTAATATTGCTAGTATGGCGGGTATTACGACTGTGGATGTTACGACGGGGGAGGGTGGGGGGTTAAGTAATCCGGGGACTGGGACTTATAGCTGTACGTTCCAATCACTTCCTTTACTAGACTGCTTTTTACTAACGAAATAACTAGATGGCCCTGCAAAGGCAGCATGCATCCACCTCACCAAGATGCAAGCCTCGAAACTCGCTCCTAAGAACATCATGGTCAACGTCATTTGCCCTGGTGTCTTCCCCTCGCGCATGACGAACTTTGGGCTGGAGAAATTCGCAGATGCGTTGACGGCGGGACAGCCGACTGGCCGTATTGGCAAGCCGAGTGACTTTGGTGGGCTGGTCTTGTTCTTGAGCAGTAAGGCAAGTGCGCATATCACGGGTAATGCCGTTGAGATGGATGGCGGTGCTACGTTGACGGGGTGGAGAGGGAAGGTGGGTGGTAGTAGCGAGAGCAAGTTGTGAACAAAATGTGACGGGTATCATGTGATTAATTGACGGTTTTGCTACATGTCCGGTATCCTCCCTCATTTGCTCCACCAACGACCATTGCATCCCCTACGACAGCTGAGTAGCCAACTGGGTAACCTGATCCATAATCGCTTGATCCTCTCTGATGTTGTTCTCGATAACCTTGTCCCTCAAGTGGTCGACCTGCTGAGCCGGGTCCGTAGGTGGCTGGCCCCTCGCAGTCTGAATCCTTGAGATCTGCATCTCGAGGAAGAACTTGGGCGCCTTGATGATTCCAAAGTTGCCTCCTGAGCTGCGTAGACCGGCCTCAGTGGCTAGGTAAACGTTGAGCGCGTCCTGGAAAGCTTCGAGGTTGGAGTCGGCGAGTGGTACAGCGGTGAAGAAGGTGCTGGTGGCGAATTCCATTGGTTTTTGACCCGAGGCAGCGAAGTTGATCTTGGAGAAGGTTTGGCCGCCTGAGGTCACGTCGGGGACGTTCTCGATTGTCTTTGCGTTGGCGTCGCAGGTGACCTTGTCTTGGATTTGTTGGACTACAGTGGCCGTCTCGCCTGGAAGGACTTCGTTGCCAACAATGAAGCAGGCATTGCCTTGACGGGGTATGATATTGGCGGTAGGAGCAGCAACGACAAGGCCGCTGAGGAGCGTGAGGGCGGTGAAGGCGTGGGTGTACATCTTCGTGTTCGTCTTCGAAGATTCCGTCTTGTATGTATATGGCAAAAATATGCAACAGCGTTGAATGGGTATAGTAGTAATCAACGAACGTTAATAAAAGTAAGGTAAAATACCCTAACCGGAGGGCAAGCAAAAGAACGAAAAAGAGAACGTAAGTGTAAAGACTGACTGGGGCGAACGAAACCGACGAAAGATCGATACTCGAAAACCCACAACGGCGGCCACACCCCTTCTCTTATATAAAAAACAACAACCACCATCGTGAGATCATACCCCCTCAGGCGCGTAAACGGCAATAAGGCACACCTCCCTGTATCACCAGTTCACGACCAAAACACTTCGCGACATTTCTGACAGGGCTGTCACGTCCACCTGGTAGGGGCCGACGCGACGTTTCTGGTTTGAGATGATCGATACCGTCTTCGCTTAGGCCCAAGGCGGCTGCCGAGCTCCGAGAACCTCACTGTTTCTACCAATAGCAGGTGGGTCGCTATTGTGCATCGTGGAGTGGGGCCTGGTTTTTGGCGGACATGCGAAACGCGGTTTGGCTGTTGGAGGGCATGCAGGACAGCTTCAGGAGCGTATGCAGGATGGGGTTCAGGAGGGTGAGAAGGAGGTGTTCAATGCCGCTTTGCCCGAGGTGAGGGAATTGAGGCGCAGGGCGGGCGGGTTTTTGCAGACATGTGGGTGCGCGATTGAAGCGCAGTCATGGACCGCGGTCATGCATACCAGTTGAGGTGTGGTGGAGGAGTCGGTACTGGTAACGGGAAACGGTTCTGGAAGGCTGGGTAACTGATTCGTACTAGCGCCATCATCACGGAGCCGGCACAACGGCACTGAACACCATAACAGCACACGTATAAGTCGGTAGTTCGATATTTTGATCCACGAAGGGAACATCGTAATTCACATACAAACAGCAGCAACACTGGTATCAACCGTATGCCCTGACACCAAGCCCTACTTTGCTTTCCATCAATCCTAATCTCGAGCAAACGCCAATCCGAGAGTCCGTCTATGCATGTATAAAGCGCCCCCGTCGCGTTTCCAATTCAATGCCCGCATGCGCCATGCTTTGTGCGTACAAAGTTCCGAAGAAGTGTATGTAGAATAGACAAAGGAGAAACAGAAGCCGCTCAAGCGATGCTGGTATGACCATAAATCCACTTTTGAAATCCAGAATGCGAAGGAAATAAGAGAAGAGAGGAGTTTGTGTTAGGCTGGTGAGGCCTCGAGATTATGTATAGGCCGTTCCACGTGTTCGGTAACAGGGTCTTTGCCCTTCATCGTTGGTTGGTCGTCGGACGTTCGTTGCGTCTCTTCGGCAATGTCGCTCATGTCAGACTCGCTGTCAGAGTCAGATTGTTCTATTCTAAAGGACTCGCGAAAGTTTGCTGGCGTTATCGTCTGAGACGATACGTGTCGCTGCTTTGTGGTGCCTGCCGACAACTTCCGGGGGCGAAACGGGTCATTGTCTTCGCTTCCTGGAGAAAGCGCAGCTGCCGTGCCATCCCGCTCATCGGCAGAGATCGCTTCGGCAGCCTCCTGGAGCTGTTTCTTCGCCGCCAAGCGCTCTTCGGCTGTGGTGTTGTGCCAGTCGGAGCCGAATTGGATCACAGATGCCTTCTTGCCATGGACTGTAAAGCTGCCCTTGCCGCGCGCCAGTCCCTCGCTCTCGGTATTGTCACTCGCGAGTGTGATTGTCGACGACGAGTCTCTGCTCTTGTGGCTGCGGCGGTGAGAAGAGCTGCCACGGGACTCTCGAAGAGTGCGCTGTAGACTTCTTCTTTGCTTAGTGTGAGACCTGGGCGATCCTGTCAAAGCAGCAAGGGATTGTTCGTAGTCAGAATCAACGACAGGCTCTGGTCGGGGGCTCTCTCCAGGTGTCGGCTCTGGTGACATGGGCTCCAAATCACCCGCCTCGCCTGGAGGCGGAGTCGCGTACCGAGACCCGTCCTCAGAGTCAGAATCAGAATCGGAGCCTATTGTGCCATCGCCAGTCGTTGATATTGAAGGCCTGTGATCGGAGGGATACATCCTCGGAGAATGTGCCGAGGAGCTCGCAAATGAGCTTCGACGATCAGATGAGCCAGGGCCAAACATAGGCCCAGGTTGAAATTGGGCCGATGGATCCCTGGGGCTCGACTGCCGAGATGTCTCCGGTGGTGTCTTGAATGCTTCATCTCCACCGAATTCAGTCTCCCTAGAGGACTTGGTCCCTGGACGGCCCGGTGAGGTAGGAGACAATGGAGCTTGCTTGTTGCCGCTGTTCATTGAGCTGGTCTTGGAAGTCAACCGCGCTAGTCCGCTAACTTTTGACGCTCTGTGCGACAACTGTTGAGGCGAGACTTGCGGCTGTTGAATAAATTCCGAGGGCTGGTCATCTTGCGCTTGTTTATCTGCGAGGCCTTTTCTCTCGTCCTCCAATTCTTGAGCAAGTATGTCACGATGACATTTCATCCGCCAAATGTCGATACGGGTCCACTTAAGCTTGGCTGATAACCGACCGGCAGCGTGTATGACCAGTTCGCGAGTTTTCGGTTGAATGGGCGCAAGAATTTGGAGATGTCTTGCATCTCGTAAGCGTGCTTCCAGCTCTTTGATAGCATTGGTGAGCTTGTCCTCGGACTCCGTAATGCGCACCTGCATGAGATCTTTCCTAGCGTTCATCATCTGTTGTGCAAACTGATTGTCGATCTTACCACTTGTTATGGTAACTTCGCCAGTGGCTGTTGGTATCGTCTTGGTCGAGTGGGATGACTCCAGGCGCCGCATGCCACGGTTCTTCTGGCCTTCGTACAGCCCACCAATCATGCCTCTTGACCGAACACCCAGTGTTTCAAACGCAGCAGTATAATTCAGCACACCCAGCCACTCGTTCAGGTCCTTCTCGTTGTCGGCCAAGAATGTCTCCTCGCCTGCCTTGGAGAACATGACAAACGCATTCTTATGTTTCTTGTATGTGGCATCGACAAGCGCAACCGCACCGTCCATCGGGATGATGTGGTCTTGCTTGAAGTCGGGTAGGGCAGGTTGGAATATGACCGGGCCTGTGTCGCCGCGTTTGAGATGTTGCTCGTGCTGGCTCATCAAGTTCTTCGTCCAA